CTGCTGAAAGCCCTCCCTCACTGCAGCCTCTTCCTTGCTGTAAAGCTGCATTTTGCCAGAGGGGACCAGCTAATGCAGACACAGAGCAATGGGATGCTCCCAGGGGATATCCTGGACATCTCTGCAGGAGGGAGGGCTCACTCACCATGTGCTTAAAGGCATTCTCGATGGCACCGATCACCAGGCTCTCGTGGGAGACAGCTTTCTCCAGGTGAAACCGTGGCACAGCATCACTGGGGACATCCCCATCATCCTCTGTGAAGGGCACCTGACTTAACTCCACAGGGCCATGTGGGAGGCAGATGGGAGGTGGGGATGGATCTTGCAGGATGTCCACGAGGTCCCGGAGCTGCTCAGAGATGTGCAGATGGAGCCTCTCGGATGCCATGACAGCAGCACCACTGCCCGCATGGCCATCAAACAAGGCCCAATAGTGGAAATAAAACCCCTTCCTGCCCTGTGGGGAGAGAAAGGAAGGTGAAGAGAGCCTATGAGGAAGCAGACTGGATGGGGAATTCAGAGCAGCTGGGTCCCAGCAACAGAGGGCTGTCTCCAGCTTGCAGGTACCATCCCACCATAGGCAGGAGTGCTATGGGCAGCTGATCCAGGGTTCTGGACATGGCTAGTCCCTGGCTGGAGCCCAGCCCTGTGTCAGCACCTTGTGCCTCCAGCAGCCAGCTCTTCCAAAGGAGAGGTAGAACAGGGCCAGCAAGCAGCCACCCCCTCAGCCCAATGTGGCATGTTGGCCAGTGGCATCCCCAGGCCAGCCAGCTCTCGTGTAGTCCAACAGGGATGATGGCAGAGCTGGCAGGGAACAGGGATGATGGCCCAGGAAGCAGGGGAATTCCCAGGGAAGCAGTGCTGCACACACATTGCCATGTGTGCCCGATTTCACATCCTGCTACTGCACATCCTCCTGTGCATGCTGCCCCAGCTCTCACCCCAGCCAGCTCCCCGCAGCCTTCCTTGGACAGCAGCCGGCCCCTGGGGCTGGGCCTTCTCTCCACAAACACCACCTCGCAGCATGCCTGGTCCTCGTTGTGCTGGCTCTTCCCTGCATTAATCACCCTGCCGGTGGGAAACAAGGTGTAAAAGCTCTGCCTTGCACCCCATGCTCCAGCAGAGACCACCCCACAGCACCTCACACACACACACCCCCCCCATACCCCTATGTCCCCAGGGATGCTCTCCTCTCTGCAAGCAGAGGTCCCAGACCAGTTGCACGGGTTGATCCAGGGCCAGCAGCTCCTACCAGCACAGCCAGGTCCAAGCACCCACCAAGGGAGGTGACCACAAAAAGCTGGTTGTGCCGAAGGTCCCCACCACTGCCCCAAGCAGAGCAACTGACCAGAAACCTGCACGAGCCAACACACATGCACTCAGCTGGGACTCACGGACAGGATTAGAGTCTCCTCCATGTCCCATCACACCCACCACCTCTCAGAGGAGGGGAGAAGGTGAAGAAGGTGAAACCAGCAGAATTTTTGCTAAAAGATTCACCGTAACTTTTCACAGCCTATGCTGGCACAGCAGAGCTCAGGTCTAGACTGCAAAATCTGCTCACGGGAGGAAGCAGTGAACATGTGCAACATGACAAGCTCTTTGGGCATGGACTTTTCAAGTGGTTTGCAGAAAGAAGTGTCAGCAGATGGCAGAGAAATCTTGCTGCTGAGCAGAGTAGATTTGGTCCAGGTACTCTCATCAGTAGTTCCTGGAGCAAATTAACATCTCAAAGAGTCCCCCAGGATATGAGGAAGATCAGGATGTAGGAATGGACTAATCATGGAGCAGCAAAAATGGCCTTCAAAGCCTAACCTTCCCCACCGTCCTTCAGTTAAGGGTGAAACTCGCAGCGACTAAAAGGAGAAGAGTATCAGGCCCTTGAAGGGGAAGTCAAAATCAGGTCCCACTCCCAAAACAGCTTAAACTCCCCAAGTCCCAAGAGAGCCGCAGCAGTCCCCTCAGCCCCCGGCGTGAGCTCCCCATCAGTGCCTCCGGGCATTGCGCAGATAAGCGCAGAAACAAACAAGGCAGAAGAGCCCGAAACCCTC